TAGTAGTGAATATATGCTACAGTACTGTGTATGATGAAAGCTATACTACAGTAGAACATGTGACACGATAATGAATCAGCTGATATAGGAATATAGGAACTCTTCTTGAAAAGTAGTCAAACTGTTTTAAGTTTATAGATGCTCTAATTTCGTCTGTTTATCGTTTCACTCAGTCGCCTTTCCAATCTATGCGCAGCATAGTTGATCTCTAGTTCGTAATCTTACAACTTCTGATACTCTTTCTCATCTTTAACGTTTTCCTTAAGAAGACATAGGAAAGTGCGTGCTCTTTTTCGTAAAGTCCATCGAAACAACGTGCATTCTGCGCTGTTTTTGTCATAAATGCCACACGTACCTCTGCACACACTGCTCGCCTTAGTTGCTTCATAAGCCAAAGACAGACTCGAGCTCACGGACACTGCTCTAATTTATTTTTTTGCTACGTCTACAGTCATCGTATACAAATTAGATTTTTGCGTTGATCGAAGAAGAGAAATAACCTTTAGACTTCACGCAGAAATTTGTAGCAGAGAAAACTATTACTACTTCAAAGTCATACTTCAAAGTGTAATTACTTTAATTCCTGTCGGTCGCATTCTTTTTAATACCATCTCCTTAAGGTTTATTCAACTCTTTTTTATGTTTACTTGTAATCATTTGATAGAGCAAATTATGTAGATTCAGAATAGAGATATGCAACCCAACCCGATCCGAAGGTCGGATACGGATTCCGTTTTGTTAAATTTCCCCCAAAATCGGCATGTTTCAATGGAACATCATAAAAATTTAGTAAAAAAGTACAAGGTTTTAGCTAGAATACATGAAGCTTTAAAGAAGTTACTTGAGAACATAATGATAACTAGACACTTTCAGCTGAAAAATAAAAGTTTTTAACTGGAAACCGGAAAGGAGAAAATCTTTAGGTATAAGTTAGGTACGGGTGAAGTGCGGGTACAAAGTTCTTGGGTACGAGCGAAAAAACATTTTCGAATCCGATATCTGTACTTGCGTACATCTCTAATTCAGAATCTAACATCAAAAATTTAAATATGATCATTCCCATTTTCTATCCGATCATTTGAATAACGATCATAAAAATCTTTTTATCTTATTTTGAATCTAAATGATTAATCTCTATCAAACGGTGGAAAAATCTGTAAGAAAGAGTCGAACGAATATTAAAAAGATGAATTTGAAAAAAAGTTTAAAGAAAGTAGCTGTTGATTTAGCGTAATCGTTCTACTGCAAAATATTTTCTGAGCTTGAACGTTCTACTATCAGCCATAATGTAGTTATTCATGCTTAGGTTTGGCCAGTGAAACTGATGTATTTGATTTTTATGTTGGCGAACGAAGTGTTTGTTGGTTCGACATCGTATGTAAAGGCAATACTAGACGTAGGAACTTTCTGTTTTATTTTATAATTTATTATCATTTTAACAAATCTTTTACAAAATTTCAGATGGTTCCGGATTGATTGAACATACAGCGACGGAAAAAGTTCAATTTATTCTAAATGAATTATTATCTTATCGTATCCAGCAAAAAATATGTTTTGATTCAAATAAACAACTACAATTGGGTGATATAACAACAATTAATTTAACTAAAATAACTGGTGGTGTACAACCCAATGTTGTTCCATCTAGTTTTACATTGACATTTGATTGTCGAATAGCGACAGATAATTATGAACAATTTAAATTATTTTTGAATGATGTTATTCAACGAACACCAAAAAAAATGAAAATGATGTTGAATTAATCTATATCTATGATTCGGGTTCAGCACATTTGACTGACATTAATAATCAAACAAGATGGTGCAATGGGTTTAAACAAGCGTCTGAGAAAATGAATTTAAAATTTAATATTGCAATATTTTCTGGTACAACTGATAGCCGATTTCTACGTAAAGCTGGTTATTCGGCAATTGGCTTTTCACCGATGAATAATACACCGGTATTATTACATAATCACAATGAATATTTGGATGGACATATTTTTCAAAGAGGAATTGAGATTTCTTGTGAATTGATCAAACATTTAACGATTTAACATGTGTTTCTTTTTGAGTCAAAGAGTTGATTCTAAACAAAGTTGATTTTTATTGCGCACAATCTTTTTTTTCAGAAGGCGGGTAAATAAAACAATGGCTGCAGATCTGCATAAGGAAAGCTACTTTGTATTTTGTTTATCAATCTGAATTGTTTTGTGCTTTTATATTAGCTTTTCCATCGCTTGAAAATCTGTTGTAGATGTTTTATGAGTCTTAATATTGTTAAAACCCTCATCCGCCCACCTGGGGTCCAGCTGGACCCCAACGAGTTTCAAATTAATGTTATATGCACATAATATTAGATCGAATCATGCCCTTCATGATATGCCTTAGTGAAGAGTAGTAGAGTAAGC